CCAATAAAATCCAGGAAAAGTTAGGAAAAAGCAAATAAATTTTTCAAAAAATGGCATGGAAACAAAAAAGGCAATGATAGTGAATATAGCTGTTCTGTTAGCTTATTTAGCTGAAAAACCAAACAAGCTTAAGTCATCAAGTGTATGGAGTCTGTATTAAATGCTAAAAACAATGTCAGTACCCAAAAACTCTTACAACTAAATTTCGAAATTAATAACATTTCTGAAGAAAAAAATTGTAGGATATAGCGTAAATAACTCTAAAGTTTTGAATAGACAAGAAGTACATTACCATAAAGATTTCTTCGATAATTTTTGGTGGTTGTAGATTATACAATTGACGTGGGCGGATTTCTAATATAATACAAAAACAAATACGCACAGAATATTTGTCGTTATCGACAAATTTAGTTTAGCATCATATAGAAATAAATATTTGGCCTTACGTCCAAAAAACATCACACACAGATCATTTACATTATTTAAAAACAATAAATTTACTACCCAATCCATTGGAATGCATTCAATAGGAAATATTCCGTGCAATATCTAAAATTATTCTATCCAACGGCCACTGTTACCACAGGACTTCAACCACATTACTGATAGACATAAGTGGAAATTTCAGAAGTTTGAAGCATCATGGGGATGGAAATTTACTGTGGCAGAAAGTTATGTCTATTGAGAATAAAATAAACACAGCATGTAACATTGCTAATATGGAAAATATGCAAAGCCATAATTCATCTATTGACTGGATAATCATCATTTAATAATTGTACTTTACATAAAGCACTTTCAACATAAATATTAATAACTAATAAACTATATTTTTCATGTAAATTTATCACCAGTATATATTCTTTGTGTTGTAATTCTGTTATTAGTAAAAAATATGGTACATGACACACTCAGAAAAGGTAGTTAAAGAACTCTTATTCTTTTGTAACCTGAATACTCTAGGCTTGACGTGCAAATAACTATTCTGCACACCATTCAACAACAGAATGACATGGAAGTAATTACACTATAAATTTAAATATAGGCAAATATGAATTTATGACAGTAGTACTGNATTAAATTTCGAAATTAATAACATTTCTGAAGAAAAAAATTGTAGGATATAGCGTAAATAACTCTAAAGTTTTGAATAGACAAGAAGTACATTACCATAAAGATTTCTTCGATAATTTTTGGTGGTTGTAGATTATACAATTGACGTGGGCGGATTTCTAATATAATACAAAAACAAATACGCACAGAATATTTGTCGTTATCGACAAATTTAGTTTAGTATCATATAGAAATAAATATTTGGCCTTACGTCCAAAAAACATCACACATAGATTATTTACATTATTTAAAAACAATAAATTTACTACCCAATCCATTGGAATGCATTCAATAGGAAATATTCCGTGCAATATCTAAAATTATTCTATCCAACGGCCACTGTTACCACAGGACTTCAACCACATTACTGATAGACATAAGTGGAAATTTCAGAAGTTTGAAGCATCATGGGGATGGAAATTTACTGTGGCAGAAAGTTATGTCTATTGAGAATAAAATAAACACAGCATGTAACATTGCTAATATGGAAAATATGCAAAGCCATAATTCATCTATTGACTGGATAATCATCATTTAATAATTGTACTTTACATAAAGCACTTTCAACATAAATATTAATAACTAATAAACTATATTTTTCATGTAAATTTATCACCAGTATATATTCTTTGTGTTGTAATTCTGTTATTAGTAAAAAATATGGTACATGACACACTCAGAAAAGGTAGTTAAAGAACTCTTATTCTTTTGTAACCTGAATACTCTAGGCTTGACGTGCAAATAACTATTCTGCACACCATTCAACAACAGAATGACATGGAAGTAATTACACTATAAATTTAAATATAGGCAAATATGAATTTATGACAGTAGTACTGTATTACTACCACTTTACATAATTTAACGAAGTAAACATTAATCGAATATGCTTCATTCGTGATAATAACGAAGCTGGAAAACTATTGGTGGAAACGGATCGATCGATAATTCTCTTGTTCATTATTTAATTAGTTAGTTGGAATATGTAAAGTGAAAGTAGTACAGTAATATTATTGATAAATATGATAAAATGGTCCCAACTAGATCTTTGTCGGGCACTATAATAATAATAATAGTTATAGATCAGTTTGATTAAATGTTATTTGACTATACGTGTAAACAGCAACCTTAATGAACATAAATTAGTGGATCATTTTTTAAAAATCCCTGTTGATCAGGCTTGACATAAATCTTAGTACATAGACATACTGAGGATACATCATAATTTTAAAAAACTTGATATGATTCTATAATTCCACAACATTTAGATAATCTTTCTTGAAAATAGGTATGCCTCTAGCAACTTTATATATATTAAGAAATGTAAGACTTTAATGTCAAACTGTTAAAAAATAACAGTTGCATTGGTACTATACAATAGTTTTTAACAAAGAAACTTGAAATTCTGTCAATCTCGAAGTCAGATTGTGTTCTAATTCGATGTCTTAATTAAATCAAACTATTGTAAACCTTTTGATGTACATTTTAATGTGACAAATTTAAGTTGTGATATTTGGTTGCGATTCATTTCAACGTACTATAAATTAATATATAAGAGATTAGTCACCATTACTGTCAACTTAAAGACGTAATAAGATATAATATAAACACCAATATAGTTATAATTAAAGTTGCTCTCATTTTATTAATATTTTTGAGAAATTCGGAATACAAGTAAGCAAATAAAACGTGTCGGCTATGATATAAACTCTCCTGCCCTTTCCTCACTATAAGAGTACAATTCTCTAGTGTTGTAATTCAGGAGAGAACAGCGTATAATAAAATCGTATATCTTTCACAGTTTACCTAATCTCTTCTCTTATATATTTAGGTGGATAGAGAGCCTCCACGAGTGCTGTGTGCCTTGGGATTTAGGAGTTTCTGAATTTAATGCGCAAGAAAGGTGAACTTTTCTATGCAGGATCTGTTCTTATGTTATTGTAATAGCTCACGATTGGCTGAAATCGAAACAGTCACGTAGAAAAAAGGTTTTTTTCTACTGTGTAGTTTTTACTAATGGTCGCTCCAATCATACAATTTTCAAACATCGTAGAAACAAGAAGATACACATAAAAACTAAGTTTAGTTCGAATTATTTTAGCTATATCAGTATTTCTTTTAGATAACTAGGTTATCGTCGTAATGTTTTTATTTTACAAGATTGAAAAAAAAAAAGAAATTCATCAAAATCTTGATTTTATGAGAATAGCATTTTCATTTTTTAAATATACATTATGTGTAGAAATGACGTGAAATTTATCGTTGTGCGAAATGTAAGTTTTTCAGTAATTATCTGATTAATTAAATTAATTATCGAATATATATCAAGTTTTGTGTGATATACAGGGTGTTTCTTAAGCAGAGGTTAAATATCCAGGGGAGTATTATGTGGCCAAAAGTAAGTTTTTTTTCTGTTATATAAATGTAGGGTCTTACGACAGCGATTGTCCAGCTACAGCGTGTCAAAAATAAGAAAAAAATAGTTTCTAATTTTTTAATTTCTAAACCGCTTGAAATAATTTAACCAAATTCGGTATGCATAATTAGTATGATATTACATATCTGAAACAAGAAATTACCAGTTTTGGAAACTTACCAGTGGTGGAGGTGTGGGTATCATTATTTGTCAAAAAAATATATATCACCCTGTATAATATTACAAATAAAACAGGTGATCATATGCGCCATTGTATTATCTTCACTTTTTGTTTCTTTACACTGCTTTGTATTCCAAACCAATTAACAACAAAATTGATTTATTCGATCAAGTGCATTTTTACATGGGTACTTAAATTACTTAAACATATCTTAGAGAGGTCACACAAAACAATAATAATAAGAAGTCGTCATCATTGTGTATTGTCAAATTAAGCTTATTCTTTAAAAAGATTAAGTTTTAATCATGGGATGCTNTTTCGTGACTCCATCTAGCGAGCATTAGCAGAACTAGAAAATCTCTAATGAAACTAAACTGTAACTAATACTTCAGTCAACGTATGCATCATGGAGACTGCCGAAATTGCTCAGTATCTTCTATGTCCTATCAGAAATTTCACAGAAAATCCCATGGAGTCTCGCAGGAAAATCCGTTGGAGCTCTGGAAAGAGATGAAATGTATATTTCCTACTTTATCCACCAAAATATCTTAGCATGGTAGCAACATCAATCCCCTCCGAAAGACTTTTCTCAAATGCAGGCCAAGTGTTAACCCAGCAAAGACTTAAAGGAAAACGCTTGTCAAAATTATTATTTTTTCAAAATTGTTCCCAAAATATATTTTCTTAATGAACGAGTTTTAGTTTTATTTCAAGATTATTTTATTTTTGTGTTATTTAACATGGTATTTCTTTGTTTCTGTGTTTTAAATCATTATTTTAATTTAATTTATTTTTTTATACCGGAGTATCTACATTTTATATTTATTTATAAAATATATTTTTATTAAAATAAGTTCTCTATATTTAATATTACGCTTTCATAGAAAATATCGATGTTTAAGAAAATCGATGTATTTGATCCGATATTTTTAACACATCGATATTTGAATTTCGATGTATCAAATGATGTCAACATCGATGTTTTAGATACATCGCGCATCCCTAATACCTCCCCGCTCTCCAATATATCTACTAAACTCGATATACATAAAATAAAATTGGTTATTTGCTTACTTCACTCGTATTTATGAAGCTACATTCATTTGGGTCATATGGAACACTAGCGCTACCCCAACTTCTGCCATTTCTTGGACAAATTTTGTCAATTTTTCCGTATGAGTTCGTGCTCCTTATCTAGTCTCCATGGTACATATAACAGGCTGCACCACTGAATAGTGAATATATACATTTTCGCGATCTGTTCAGGTTAGACAAGGTTAGAAATAAGATTAAAAAGAGATAGAAACAGTAACTACAAGTCAGACGTATTCACCAATATTCACTCACGAAAAAAAGCCTCAAGAATAGAAGAATCCTGCTGAACAGCTGAACTGCTGAAGTAATGATTACATTACATTTATGTTTGTGATTTCATGATTAAAAATTGGTGATGTATAAGATTTGTATACTTTTTTAATTATCCTATTTTAAATAAATAATTCATCTGCGTTTTTAATTAATACTACCGTATTAAATTTAGTAATAATGTCTGAATATGAAAATGTTCGAGTGGGTAAATTGATTTTAAAAGGAGAGAAACACAGGTAGTTTACAAATTTCTTTAATAATTAGTAGATATTAATATTTAACCTCTTTCATAGGCCCAAAAAACGGAAACATAAAAGTAAGAAACATGAAGAAGTAACACCTAAAATAGACACTGACAGTATTAAACATGGAAATTGGTGGAAAGTTACAAAAGTTGAAGAAATCTCTGGACCTGTTGCAATAGAATTTGGAAATCAAACGTATGTTAAGGCATTAGATAATGGACTGTTCACTTTGGGGGCGCCTCATAATGAAGGAGAAGGTCCTTCACCTGAAGAAATTCTTACAGCCGTTTCTATTAATGAAAAAAAAGTTGCATTTAAATCAGGATATAATAAATATTTACGAGTTGAAAAAAATGACATTGTAACTGGTAGATCTGATGCCATTGGAGCCACTGAACAATGGGAACCTGTATTTGAGGTGGGTGACATTTACATAATTGTAGTTTGTATCACTTGTATAATACTTTTTACGCCTATACCTATTATTATTTTTAAAATTGATAGTATTTTTAGAGATCTTAATATATGGAATTGCAATATATAGGGTGTCTCATAATTAGCTGCCAACCCTGAACAGGCCGATTCTATGATCAAAACTAAGTAAAAAAGTTCATATGAACATGGGTCCGGAAATGCTTCCTAAGGGCGCAGGGACCCATTGAAGAAGGAGGAATGGAAATCATTTTTTTGCAATATCTCTCAATCGCGTTGTGATAAATGAATGAAATTTGGTATACACAGCTAAATTTTGATGAGCAATTTGATGGACTAATCCATTTATTTCCACAAGGTCCATTGGGGTGGGTACGGGGGGGCCCTTGGTACTTTGCGTGTGTAACTTTTTCATCTTTGACTTTTTAACAAATTGGACAGCAAATTCCGTTTTCCCGAACTGTTTTACGTTAAAAAGGTACTCTTGTTTCAAATCGTTATCTTTAACGGTTTCTGAGAAAATCGCTCTTGAATTAATCCCACTTTGGTCAATTTCATAGTAATTTAAACAAAAAATAATAATAATAATTTTCCTTTCCTCTCTTTTCCATTTAAAGGATTAATTTTTATTTAATTTAATTTTTTATTATTATTTTTTTATTAAAATTAGATTAAATTTAAACAAAAAAATTTTTTTTGTTTAAATTACTATGAAATTGACCAAAGTGGGATTAATTCAAGAGCGATTTTCTCAGAAACCGTTAAAGATAACGATTTGAAACAAGAGTACCTTTTTAACGTAAAACAGTTCGGGAAAACGGAATTTGCTGTCCAATTTGTTAAAAAGTCAAAGATGAAAAAGTTACACACGCAAAGTACCAAGGGCCCCCCCGTACCCACCCCAATGGACCTTGTGGAAATAAATGGATTAGTCCATCAAATTGCTCATCAAAATTTAGCTGTGTATACCAAATTTCATTCATTTATCACAACGCGATTGAGAGATATTGCAAAAAAATGATTTCCATTCCTCCCTCTTCAATGGGTCCCTGTGCCCTTAGGAAGCATTTCCGGACTCATGTTCATATGAACTTTTTTACTTAGTTTTGATCATAGAATCGGCCTGTTCAGGGTTGGCAGCTAATTATGAGACACCCTGTATTTCCACAATTTCCAACAGCCAATATATTCTGTGAAAATACTTTATCTTCTTTTGTCAGCACTAATTAATATTGGTGATGAGCACTATCAAATTCAGCTTTCGAATAATTGGTAATTAATAGACTTCAACTATCGAATTAGATTATTCAAATAAATGTATGCTGTATGTGGGAACTATGAAATGTCTTATTTATTTTTAGGAAGATGATTTTTCACTTTATTATGAGTACGATAATTATTCGTTATGACTATTGTTCATAATGTTTGTGCTTGTCATAGTCTACTAATATTAACCAGTTACTATGACTATCGACAAACCGGTAGCTTGTTAACTATTCCTATTTTCATTCAAATACTTTTTGAACTATTAGATAATATGAGTAGTTTGGTACCATCAAATATTTTGATGGTTTTTATTCGATAGTGTCCATCACTAATTACAATATGGTTATTAATTATTGACATACCATAATTTTTTTTTCTGAAAGCCCATTTTTATTTTTTTATTAATATATTTTAATAGTATTTTATTAATATATTACTTATTATTTATTAATTTCAATTTTAGGATGGTAAGATGGCTTTGCAAGGATATAATGATTGTTTTTTAAGCATTGATCCTGATGAAGACTCAGTGGTAGCTAATGTAAAAAAAGCCGGCTCCGATCAGTTTATCAGAATCAGATCTCAAACTGTTAGAGAGGAGAACCCACTGAAAGATGTACCAAATGAAGAACAGGGGGACATAGAACAAATAGAGATTAATTATGTGTAAGTCGTTAATATTATTATAGAGTACTAAAGTATATTTGTTAGACACCTAGTTGTTTACGTACAAAAATAGCATTTTTTATGGATGGAGCGAGTGAGATTAACAAACTGGTAAGGCCAAAAAAAAATGCAGGTATTGACTGATGAGATTTTCACTTTATTAATCAATATATTTGATTTTATGTCAATTTATTTAATACTGTGTGTATTTATTTTATTGGAGAGTTTATTAAAATTTTCTTTCAAGAATAACTTAATATATATTTTTTTAATTTGTCTGCAAATATTGTAGTAAGCAGCATTTTTGAAAAAATTGGAGAATATTCAGCAGTTTCAGAAAATATAACAATGTTTTATATTCCTTATTTTTAAAATAATTACATCACTTAGTACAGAAATTCTCGCTTCACTAAAATATATTGAATATTTTGCAACCTTAATTACAAGATTTCTGATTAAAAGGTAACATCATGTTTGCCATTTATCTGTATTTATAAGCATTAGACATAAAGAACAAGGTTTATCTAGAGTATGATTTTTCTAGGTACTGTTTTTTTCTCATTCCGATACTCGATATTTTGTACCAGTATTACAGCGTACAATACAATACAATCCGATGCATTTTCTGGCAATACCTATCAGCGGTGAAGTGAACCTTAAAGCTTGTGTTAGAATTAATTTATTACTGGCAACTTTCCAAACTAATGACATGCAATCTACTGGTAAATAGCTAAAATATGAGGAACTTGTAGTTTCAGTTCAATCAGTTGTCTGAAATTATCGCTGTCACTGTTGCGATCTAGTTTTTCTGTAGTTTGCATTTCCATATAATGTGCCTCGTCCAAAAACTATCATTTGGAAGGTTTATATTGCATTTTATATTTATTTTAAAAAATTACATAGATAAACATGTAATATAAAAATTCTTTTAATAAATGCTGGATTGTTAATGTACTGGTACTTTTTCATCCGGTATTGGGACAGAAACGGTACTTTTTAAGCAATACAATACGCCAGTACCGCTTTTTCAAGTATTGTGCATCTCTAGGTAAAGGCCCTTATAATTGTTGACATTTCCCACAGTTTTAAAGGAAGTTGGGCCGCCCACGGCCAGGGGGCAGTGGGATCGACCTTATCAGATCTAAGAAAGAGTGCCTCAAAAAGAGGCAATTCGCTGCTTAAATTGTTATAATAGGATAATAAAAGTAAATGTAATAAATAATAATAAATGTGTAATATCAGACCTGAAGGTGTTGATTGTAATACCTTCTGGATCCTGACGGCCTACAAACGTTAAAATTTTTGGGAAAATGTCAGTCCTTACTTTGACTTACCTGAGCGTGGCTTATAAACACAATGACTAGAAAGGTAGGCAAGTCCGCGAAAATGTTCATATCAAGTTTTATCGTCAAAGTAGCGTCTCTAAAAGATCGGAACCGGCGCCCAACAGCAAAAAAATAACTCGCCAGCCAAGAAAATGCGTCAAATGACAAAATTTATTTTGACGTCTTCACTGACGTTTGTCTCCATCTCCGTCTAAATATCGGATATACTTATCTGGGTATCTCTCTCCCATCGAAAAGTCAATTTTCGGCGAGTACTCTTTTTAACGTGGAAATTTTACATAAAAGGCGCGAACAGATTGCGTTCAGAATACGACGTTAGGATAAAGGAGGAGAAAGCCTTTGATATGGAAAGTCGTCACTTTTCACGGCCGAGTGTGGCAGCGAGAAGCGAGAATAATCTAAAGCTTTTAATATATAAACACAAACACAATATGTTAGGGCAGTGTCCTAGATTTTACATCATGTACGATTTACTCTTGTACAGGGTGATTCACTATATTTTGACCCCCCCATTAACTTTTTTGTTTTAAGAGTTATAAAAATGTAAAATACAAAAGTTGCACGATTTTTTATGAATTTTTCGAAAATGACATTTGAAAAACAAATGAAGTCCAAACAAAATGACCGCGGGTGTTAACTTTGTTAATATAAATGGAACACCCTGTATATTTCTACATATTTGGATAGAACGTTCTCTCTCGATAGTCAAATATAGTAAAGATCTCCATACACTATTTTAATTCCTAATAATATTTCAATTTTCTACTGCTGTGTAACCATTTTAATTAATAATACAAACTGTCAATCAATAACAATGTTATCATGACATTATCTGTCACCGTCACGGCCTACCATATAACATTGTCCATGAGTAATTAGGCTTCTCACGGCCTAATTAGTGAGAGTTAGAATACCTATATGCATTTTGGACCATATCAATGTCCGACATGTCAAAATATATTACAACTAAATCTGTAAATCGTTACGTAATTGGAAAAAAGGCAGAAGTGCCTGAAAGAGGTATAACTATTACAAGATAACTTATTTTCTTAATAAAAACATTCTTTCCTTTTTTAGTAGTACCCAATATGACTATGCTTGACAGGAAACATTCTATCCAAATATGTAAAAATATACAGGGTGTTCAATTTAAATTAACAAAGTTAACATCCGCGGCCATTTTGTTTGAACTTTATAATTTTTCAAATGTCATTTTCGAAAAATTCATAAAAAATTGTGCAACTTTGGTATTTTACATTTTTTATCTCTTAAAACAAAAAAGTTAAAGGGAGAGTCAAAATATAGTGAATCACCCTGTACCTTTCTAATTATGTAATTGATGAATCTTAACCCATTTCCTATTTTTTAGGAAAAAGTTTCAAAAATTCCAAGATAAACGACTTAGATTATGTAAGGATGGAAAAAAGGAACTAAAAGTAGCAAAGCAAGAAGGAAACTTACACGAAACTTTGTTAGATCGTAGGAGTAAAATGAAAGCAGATAGATATTGTAAATAATAGAAATATACAATTTCAATGGAATTTGTTTTATTTTCTAAGTATAATGTAAAAGTAGTTTACACAAAACATACAAAATAAATTTAAAACTTTATTTCACAATAAACTTCAAACGATAGTGGTAAATTTTGTATAGTTAAACTTAATTAAAAAATAAATTAACTACATCAGTTCTGTGTTACAATGTGACTGAAGATTCTAGTTTAATATTTACTTTTTATAATGGTATATTTTTGAACCTTACAATTAAATAATTTTAATGAAAGTAAAAGTGAATTAAAACAAATTGGAAATGTGTTGGGTCAAAATTTCTATAAATAAATTAGTACACATTGTTATACTTTCGTTAAAATTACCACAAGGTTCTCAACACAAAATGTTATACTGTAGATTCAGCAACATAAAAATTTACAGTGTAGAACTTGCTCTGTGTTACTAAATCTCAACTTATGTCACTTTTAGCTCTCGCAGCCTTCAACCATTCTACAAATTCATCTAACATAACAGGCCCTGGAACATAGATGATAAAATCAGATATTGTTTTATATAAAACCACTGTAAAATGTTAAAATAAAGCGTTTTTACGATTTTTTTTTAATGGAAGGAAAACAGGAATATTCAAGAATGTTATTAACCATTTCTTTGTCCAAAAAAAAAACTTCATAAATAGTACAAAATGGCGACATGAGCCGTTCTCACAAGGCAAGTTGAATTTGAGGGGCACTGCAGCATGCAGAGGACCACACACACAGCTAAGGAAATTGGCAACCTGTCAAATTGTCTGAAAATGAAATATATTACAGTTTGAGATATCCTGATCGAAAGTTGTCATAGGCCAAAGACCCAAAAATGAATATTTATTGAGATAAGCAACATTGAAAATAAGCGAATCCCATCATGCTTATACATAGTCTTGTTAAGGAAAGTCGTATGGCGCCTCTTTCCATCTCGGAGAAACAAGGTGAGTTCGTATGTGGCACCTTCTCTCGAAACAGAGGATTTTTGAAAAGCTGATGTAAAACAAGAAAAAGGGACATAAAGTAAATAAGTTATCAAGAAGCAAAAAATTAGGGTCAATGAAAGAAAAGGCAAGTGCAAGGGAAAAAAAGGGAACGTAAAAATAACCAATTGGTAGGAAAAGATGCCGAAAGGATTTTTATTATTCAAAAGAGCGTTACGAATAATCCTAAAAATGAAGAGTAGAGAATCGTGCAGGGGAAAATTCAAGGAAAATAAAATTTTAACTTTCACAGCTGTTTACATACAAGAAATATTATTATTCTTTTTAAAAACAGGCATTTGTTCACAAAAATGTCTTCACAACATAACCATCAAAACAGAACTGAGGATTATTCCTATCCGATACACAGATTGACAGTTACAGAAAAAGGTGCCTTTTATAATTGTATTAAAATGTATAATAAATCGCCTGCTGATATAAGAATAATTACAGATATAGTAATTTTCAAAAAGAAAATTTTTAATTTATTAATAGATCTGGAACCATATACTGTAGATGAGTATTTATATAGGCATTTCTTTTTTCTATATGGACAGTTGTAAAGTTGTTAGTGTTGTAATAGCAAAGCTCTGTTCATGTTATTTTCATTAATGTTATTGGATCTATGTGACTGTTCTTGAAAATAAAGATTATTATTATTATTATTATTATTATTATTAAAAGCGGGCAGAAAATAAAGAAGAGGTATAAAGTAAAAAAAAGAGTATAACATAAAAACAAGCAGGTGTCTAATAAAAGAAACATGACAATAATGGCATATGTAGTTAAAAAATGCAGGAAGAAAGAAAAAAATCAGGCATAAAGAATAAACAAACAGGTGGAAAGTAAAGAAGCGGTCTAAATTAAAAAAAATGGCATATAGTAAAAGTAAGCAGGCATATATTAAAATCAAGAAGACTGTTTTTCAATTTTTAGCTTTCCGTAAACCTTATGTAGTAACATGCATGCAAATGTGCGACCTTAGGACTCTACATCTCAAAACTAGAATTACAATGGAGTTTTTAATAGAACCTACAATCAATAGAATCAACAAAACCACTATAAAAAGTTGACGGGATCTCGTAAAAATTGATCATAACTGAACTCGCAAGTCATATAATATGTAACTAAGTTTAAGTTTGTATTAAACGACCGCAAAAATCTTATGCAATTCTTGAAATTATGTGAAGTCTGTCCACCATTTTAGCATCGACCGCCATCTTCAATTTTGGAAATTCAAACAAAAACTGAATACGTAACTAATTATCTTTACTTATTGTAATGTCTTAAATGACATAGGTAGCCTAGCGCTGCCGCTGCTAGATTAATGTCAAGCGTTAATGATAAAATAATAATTATGTTAACTTACATCAGCTTTCAAAACTTGCTTTCCTTAAGATTTCAAATAAAGGACTTTATGATCAGCGAACTCTTATTGTTTTCCGTAAAAAAGACTACGTATAAGCGCGATGCGACTCGCTTTTACAACTTCATGTTCAACGAACTCGTCTTGTTTTTCTCAGAGAGAAAGAGATAGAGATCTTTCCGTAAAAAAGACTACGTATAAGCGTGATGCGACTTGCTTACTTTTAATGTCGCTTACCTCGATAAGTATTCATTTTTGGGTCTTTGGTCCCTGACAACTTTTGATCAGGACCTCTCAAATTATAACATATTTCATTTTCAGACAAACCGATGGGTTGCCAATTGCCTGTTGGTAGTACAGTGTAAACTCTTTTTAACGAATCTTAAGGAACCGAGGAATTTTTTTCGTTGATAGAGTTTTTGTTATATGGAGGGAAGAAGGAAAAATAACCAAATTTCACCAATTACAATAATTATATATAATACATAATAGGTGCCTAGTGCGTTTAGTAACTGAGTACAAAATTTCCTAGGAAAAAAGTAATCCAAGAGTAATGGCACACGTGTTCGAGGCAATTAGCAATAACAAAAGCAACCAGTTGTTAGGACCTCAGGGTCTTAGAAATTTCAGCACCTAAAAGATTTAGTCGGAACCTTTTGTAAGCTGATTATAAAAACAATTACACTATTAAATACTTCTGTAAATATTTGCTGGCGTCTAAATATGAACATATTTCTTCATAATAGAGAATGGCTGTTGCGCTATAAAGAGTGTATTAATGTATGGGTTTTGACATAAACCAACCAAATTGACCTAATTTCTATGTTATAGGAAGTTTTCGTTTTAAAGAACGACGTTATAAAGAGTACACTGTATTACAGAAGTTAGAAATCAAAAGGTAAGTCATTATGCTGTACCCTTCCTACAGGTATCGTTTCAGATTAGTCCGATGCGCTTGGGACAGAGCTCGGAATTTCAAAGAAAAAATATTTGTCCAGACATAAAAATTATTTTCCCTTATTCTAGAAGGTTCAAAGCAACTTTTAAATAAATAAAAAAAAAGATTTTCCAAAAATTACCCCATAAAATGACTCAAGTTTAGAAATTATATTTTGCACCATAATACATAAAAATAATTCTTATATGGATTATATTAGAAAGGATATAAAAAAAAATCAATAAAAAATGTGCCATCACGAGCACTAGTCATATTTCACTGAAAATATGAAATTAAGAAAAAATCAAGTATGACACTGAATTCTACAGACAAAATTAAATTCAAAAAAACATCTGTATCAAAAATCAATGGAGTTAGTAGGATTTTATTTGTACCATGAAACTATGTTTGGAAAAAAAAGTGACATCCCATATTACTTTTTTCAACTCAAAATATTACAAAAGAAAGCAAGTGACCAAAAAATTTGAAGTAAATTGGCAAGAAGTATTTTTTTAATATAAGTAAAAAACTACTTAATATTAGAACTTTACTGCATATACCTACAGTGTGTTCAGAAACAAAGTTGAAAAGATGGAAAACTTATTTTTCATTTTATAGAAAGTTATTCTTGATAAAAAAATTTTGCTTGTGTTCAACTGTACAAATATGTAGTTTTAGATATCTTTTATTTTTAAAAATCGAAGTACACTATTTAATATATACAAGATCTCCCCAGATTTATGATGTTCATGACAGAAATATTGGAATTGAAATTTGACAATGCAGAAGCAAAAAAATATGTTTTCATTGTAGGTAAAGTATAATTTTCGTTGAAGGATTAGGAAAAGTTTCTGGCAATTAAATTTATGTGAACTGTATAATCAGAATTAATTCTCACTAAATAATACTTACAAGCTCCGTCTACATCGTAATTGGACAAGTCATTATAAATCGTCCTGGAGAACTCCAGAATATTACACCACTGATCTTTGTTAATAACTTTGTACTTTGACTGTTCAAGGAACTGACTAAATTGGGAATAAAGAGGCCAATGTTTACCAAGCAATAACTGAAGCATTGCCTTTGCAGTGTCCATATCCATACTCCTCTGATCTTTATCCTAAAAATATATATTGACTATGATTTGTAGTAGTAACAATTACATCACAATTAAATGGTATAACCCAATCATTTTATCAAATCTATTATAGATTTTTTTTCTGGAAAACTGAAAATATTAAAACCTATTAAGTCCTTTATCTATGAAATAAATTTTATAAAAATAAATACTGTAATAGGGTAATTTCCCTATATTTTAGTATTGTTTTTCAAAAAATTTCCTTATATTAAATATGTATTTAATTATTTTTTGATTTTCGATACATTTTGTACAAAAAAAAGATGTAAAAAATATATGACATAGACTATTGAAGTTTATATTTAGAACTACACTTTGCAAAATAAAAAATTGAAATAGAGGTAGCCTTCCTTGAATACTGAAAACAGTTGCACATATGTACAAAATATTTTTTTTCATAATTAAGTGATAATTACAATCAAGATCAAGAATTTTTTTTTATATATCACAAAATTATATTTTGTTCTCAGTTATACCTATTTAAATTTCAATTTGATATTATCATTTAATTCTTTAATCTTCATAATACAATAACTAACAAAATGTAAATTGTGTGAAAAATGAGAAAATACCAGTTTGTATCTATCAGCTGATAATAAAAAGTTTTTGGACATTTATGTGCAACTCTTCCTTTTGTAAATAGCTTAGGACTTTCTTTATCAAAGGAGTTATCTATGTAGGCCTAGAAATCATCTAAAATAAATTCATGTATACATTTTTTTTTAAACAAACTTTTAGTGTCACCATGCATGGTCATCCAAACTAAACGTGTATGCACTCTTTTAAAATTCAGTTGCAAGATTTGACTCCTACTAACAAGGCAAGGTAAATAAAAGCTTGTAAAATAGTATCATTTCCTCACTCCAATAAGATTTTGATGAATTCCAGTAAAATATGATAAACAAAAAAGTAATGTATTGAGTTCATTTTAAATTTATGTTGAAAAGAATTTCATATATGGAAAATATTTTTTTTTTCATAATCAACTTATAAATACTGGGTGTCCCGAAATTCATGCAACAAAATTCGGTCACAGATTCTTAGGATAAATTTAGGGGACCCGTATTTTTTATTTTTGCCAAGTGGCCCCCTCTTTCGGAGTTACAGTCCCCTGAAATCTGCCCCTAAGAAGTCTTTTTATATCTCAAAACCATGTTGTACGAGAATCACTAAATTTGGTACAGAGGAGTTTTATGACGTGGAATCTCACAGTGCTACGCTTTTTGGCGAGAAACCTCCTTAAGACACTTCTCCGTGGGCCCCCTTGTCTTTGGAACCAGAAAAATTTGGTGACAAATTTGATTTTTTTTAAATTATTAGTTAACTAGAAGGCCATTGAATTTAGAAACTTTTTTGACTCGATATTTGTTTCGTAAAACGAAATATTTTTGAAGAAAATGGCGAATTACGACATGCATTCGATCACATTTTGACATTTTTCTCGAAAACATTGCGTTTTACAAAAAAAGTATAAACAAAAAGATTCTAAATTTAATGGCTTTCTAGTGGACTGATAATTTTCAAGAAATTTAAATATGCGACCAAATTTTTTTGGCTCCAAAGACAAGGAGGCCCACGAAAAATTGTCTTAAGGGGGTTATAGCCTTGTCACAAAAAAAAATTAGTTTTCTTTAAAGAGCATTTCTTTGAAAATGTACAAAATTGTACAAAATTAATAAAAAATACAGTATAAAAGTACTCAAATGTTTAGTTGAGTTTTTTATATGTGCCGGTATAAAATTGTACAAAATATAAGCAAAATTAAACCATATTTTGTATATCAAACTTATTAATTCACAAGACAAACCTCATGGATGAAACACGTGGAAAGACAATGATACATACATACAGTATTAAAATTAGAACGATACAGGGCCAAAGCCTAGAACCTGTCCAATCTATATAATGCCTTTCATTTTCGATGTCACTCTAGGTAGTCTTAAAAATAGAAAGATGTGGAAGAAATGCATAAATTTGGTGATACCTGACCAACTTTTAATAACACTAATGGATTTGGTACGAATTGGAGTTACTTTCTGTTAAATGGGAATTATAATCAATGAGAACCTAGTCAAGAAGTGTTCTAACCTTTTCAAAAAATATATAGTCTGTCATATTTATAGAGAACAAAGAATTGCATTATTGGTGCACAAACCCAGAAAAAAATCTAGTTTGCGTCAGCTGTATTTAGTTGACAACCGTGAGTTTGTGGCCAACGTAGAAGGACCACAACATTTGTAACTCACTTTTTCATGCAAATATATAGGGTGTTGACATGTATAGGTGTCAAATAAATTAAGTTTACATCTCATTAATTAAAATCCCCCTAGATTAAAAAAAAATTGACATTTTTTAGGTGCTAGATTATCATATTGCATATTTGGTAGGCTATGCAAGATAGATTTTTCTTAGATTTGTGTAATGGTGCCATTGTTGTATATAGTTGACTATGGAGAATTGGAGAAAACCAGTCATATCAAAGAACACCAATGATTAACTATAATACCGCGGTCGAAATTATAGAGAGTGACTAAACATAATATAAAACACTATTACCATAATGCGTATAAAATATAAAATGATTTTTATATGGTTCAATATTATTTATCTTTGTGCCGCTCGCTACGCACATCGATAGAATCTATAATCGTCTAGAGACCGAGTTACACTGAACGTCGATCTATATTCTATCTCTGTCTTTTACACTTGGTAGGGAATCGGGAAATGCTTTTTTAGTGGGTGTAAACGGACTTGATTTAACCCGTCCTGAGAAACGTCATAGCATAAGCGTAGACGAGGGGTCTAGTTCAATGGCTATAATAAATTTATAAATTAAAAAAACACAATTGGGATGTTTTAAAATGCTGTAATAATTAAAATGGATCAAAGTGGCTGTTATAGCAAACCGTAAAAAATATTAGATGTTATTTTATTATCTTTTTTCATTATTTTCTATATCTTGTTGCCTTTTACGCAGACACGCCAATGGATTTTCGTTCCCGACACGCTTCATCCCCCTTACTAGTCCAAAAGCTAGCGATTAATCAGTCTCTATAATTTCGACCGTGGAGTATAATATTAATGAATTGACAAGTTCTATTCCAAAGGTGAGATAATTGAGGTTATGTAATAATTTTTCCATAAATATGAACTAATTCTGATAGGTTTTCTATGGTCACATAAAAAAATTAGAAAGCAAATAGACTGCAAGTGCCCGGACTACTTTTAAGTTGGCGCCATTATGTAGTTACAGATGTATTGGCACATTTCTGCCGACAAAAATAAGAAGATATTGTTCCAAAAATGGTTATCAATTGTTGAATTTCGAGCTGTTGTAAAAATTTAACTTTTTTGGTTATAATTTCAAAACTAAAATACATATAAAATATCTGTTCTGAACTATAGATTTCTCTGAAAAAGTGGTCAACTTTTCCAAAAGCCACAACATTCTATTTATAATAATAACCGAGATACCTTATCATGACATCGGAAAATAACTTTTTTTCCATGTCACAACATTGCCTTCTTATTTTTTCTTAAAATTACAGCATAATGGAAAAGTTTTAATAAACTCCATATCTTTGTTATACAGGGTTATTCACAAACCAAAAATGAAACCGCATATTCTTTGGTGAATTTTAAGTGGTCTTTCCTATAAAGTTTTTATCTAGGACACTTCGTTAAAAAGATACAGGGTGTTAAACTTAAACAAATATTTTTATTTTTGTTGAGTAATAATTTAAAAACTACTCAGTGAAATCATTTATAAGAAACAATAAATTTACCAGAGCACCAGGTTGTGTGAATATATCACTATCAATGAAAATATAACACCGTTTCCAAAATTTAATTATCTTCACTCGTTTTCTAAAAAAAAGTACTAAGGTCCCTATATTAAACTTTCACCAAAAAGAATTCAAGTAAGACTATTTATTGCTGGCTGAATTAAAAGGAGTGCAAAGTGCATATTGACCACCATTATTCTTAAAGCAAGTATCAAGAATAGATATAATGACTGCCACTGATGCTCAACTCATTAATTTTTTTTTGATATAAAGAAAAAAATAGCTGATGTTGCTTGTACCTGTGTGTGATTATAAAATACAAACACTTTAACTTACCCTGGCAAAATCATATGCATATCTATAAATAGCCTTGAATGCATTTTGGTCATTCAGAAGGCAACGCAGATAATCTAGTCGATACTGTAGTTTCTGTATTGAATCACACTGCATTTCCCCTAAACCCTTCAACCACTCCTCTTTAGTGAAGAAGCCCATTTGTCGAGCTTGCATTTTATAAGCTAAGACTAACATCACCACATTTTCCGGTTCTACCCCAATATCCTCACAAAACTTTTCCATGCCTTCAGGACCCAGTGTATCTGGATCATCTGGTGTTGTATATTCCCTAAACCAAGCTAAACATCTTTTTTGACTAAATGATTGAGCTTCCTCAACCCTAGAAACTCTACGAGAACTGAAACAAAATTGACATTACTTACACTACTATGAAAGTATTAATTAAAAACATACATTTGTTTATTTTTTCAGGTTTTATAACCTCTTAAATTTACTATTTTGCCTTCTAAAACAAATTGTATATTTTAAGTGTATGAAATAATGGACTCTAAGCAACTCTTTGACATTTGTGAAGTTTAATAGTACTTATTAACAAACTCTTAGAAATGAATATTTCTGCTCAAAGTGACATCCATGTGAATTTTTTTACAATTTCTAAGTCACAAATTCTAGTTTCAGAATTGTATTTTTTTTTAAGAAAAAAAAGCAAAAAAAAATAAAAACCATTTTTACATACTTCTCTTCATCCATAAATTTTTGTAAAATTTAATTAAGTATTTAATTTTCTGAAATTAGTACGAAAATAATGTCAGCAGAACTAGTACGTCTGTCTATAAATAGATGCCCATGGCCAGTCCAAGAATAATATGTATAACCTCAAAAATAACGTACTACTTCTGTTTACTTATTAAAAATATTCCCGTTTATTTTAAAAAGTTCTTATTAATTAATAAAGTTAAAAAAATTTATATCAAATTATATACATGAAGTTAATTTAAAAAAGTATATATTTTTTTTGTTACAAATTTTTGTTTTAACAATTTAATTTAGATAACCCAAAATACTGTTTGGTGGTAGTGTATAATTAAATTCATGATACCAAATTATAACTCCATGATATAAAATCTGATAATCTATAAGTGAAATAACAAAGAAGAAATTGGTAAGAAATATATTCATTAATTTTATAGCATTTACCTATTTGAATTTCGTAGACGTTTAGAAGCATATCTGTCATCTTCGTTAGTACTCATATCTGTTGTGGACCTACGTTTACTACGAGGCATTGCAAGTTTGAGGACTTATATACTAGTGGTGTTATGATGTTTCGAGCTGAAAGAAAATTTGTGATTTAGACACAATTCTACCTGTCAGTTTGAAGGAATCAAGTTAGGTTATGTTACAACAAAGGTAAAGTGTGAAAAATAAAATACCATTTTTTTTTTCATGGCAATTATATATATATTTAACCAATGTTAAGGACGACCTTTTACCTTACCTTAACTCTGAAAATAAACGATGATTTTAATTACCCCTCCCCAACATGGATAATGCTAAACACGGTTATTTTCTCCGACACAATTTGTTTTAATTTTAACACAACTGTGTTGCTCAACAATTAAAATAACGATTTTTACTTTACAAATTTAATAAAACGTGTTAGTAATATAAGTTGAAGAATATGAACTTGTACGATTTAAGCATCAGCTGGGGCATATTTTATTTTAACCTTGAAATAAAATAGTGTTTTCTATCTTCGTTAATTGACATATGAACTGATTGGTAGCATTGCATTGGAAATCCATCAAACTTCATGAACGATATGTTCAGATATACTGATGATGCTTACATATAATACTAGTTGGTGGCTGCTTCCCAGGAGCCGAGAGTGTAGCGGAGGTTTAGAGAGAGAGAGAGAGAAAAGTATAGGAGTGAGTGTAAATGCTATCTCTCTCTAGCAACATGCAATCGCTTGCTGCTAGAGAGAGGTAGCAACTACCCTCCTATACTTCTCTCTCTCTCTCTATACCTCCGCTACACTCTCGACCACTGAGGGCTGCTTCCAGTAGTATATGCTCTAAGTGTTTAGGCAATATCTTTCTCTCGGCGCAGACATATGATTGGCTAGCGCAACTCCTTCCTCAACGAATAGAGAGAGGGAGCGAGTTCGCAAACTATCATACTTTCTTCTATAGCGTATACACACTCGTATATGCTCTAATGTTAAATTAGAGCCCTTTTTTTTATTCATGATTTCGGAACCATAATGCGTTACGCTCCGATGGAAACCAATCAGGTTGCTTGATTTCGGATCGTAACGCATTATGATTCTGAAATCATGAATAAAACAAAAGACGTCAGTTTGCATGTACCTTCAAAGTACCTTCCTATTGTAACGCGCCCAGTCGTTGAAAGGCTCTCTCCAGTAATACATGCTCGAAGGTTTAGTGCACCTTGGTTATTTGTAAAGTAGAATTACATAAATGAGCTTAAATATCTATACAATTTGCTGTACTTTTAATAATGTAGCATATGTTTAGATTTTTTTAAAACTCAAAATTTTAATAATATTGCAGGTTTACGTTTATATAAGTATAAGTACATCATATTATTCATATTACAATTATTGTAACTTCCGTTTCACCGTAGGGCATATAGATACTACATGGAGGAAGCACTGCCTGTTTAAAAAGTGTACACGCTGTAAGAGAAAGAGCGATAGTTTCGGTACTCTCTCTCAAATCGTTGAGGAAGAGTGGGGAAATTCTGCCCTTCACCAATCACGTGCCTGTAGTAACAAGTGAGAGAGATTAGTGATGGGCATAATCGACCAATNAGAGAGATAGTAACAAAACTTTCTTTATGTCTCTCTGTCACTCGTCTACGACTTCACACTCGCCGTAAGCGTGTTTCCTCCATGTAGTATATGCTCTAAGTTTCCAACAAATACATTTTAATGGTACCAACCCATATATTTATTTAAATGCTTTAGCAACATTATAACATAGATTATAAAGCCTTCTAAGCACTTAGGTCATCAAATTTTCAAATAGTCTTCTCTTCACTATCTTCACTTACGGTATGGGTCAAATTTGTCAACTGGCAGCTTGTCTCAGGTTTCGTATGCTTAGTTGACGCATCAAAATTGAATGTGTATTGTGCATAATGTGTGAATCGAGCCTTAGGCTTACTCATGGGTAAAAACCATAGACCACGTAAAAACCAAGGATATTTATAATACATAAATATCCTTGGGTAAAAACACCAAGGTGGGAACCACGTGATATTTGTTATCGTTTTAAGACAACAAACGATATTAGCATAAACAGCATAATGATTATCAATTGTTGACAGATTGGATGATTATTTTATCATAAAAAAAAACATCTATTATTGGCTATAAAACAATCGACTAGGTGTTCAGTTTGATTTGGTTTTTATTTTAACATAAGGGAAAGACAAAGGTAAATAATACATTTTATTTTCTATTTATTTACTATCAGGAAATGTTACAATATGTTAATTATTTTTTAAAATATATATTTTTTTAATAATTATTCGGACATAATTTATTGGTTTTAGGATAGATTATGTAAGTATATGTTGACCTTTATCTTTCCAGGGTGTAAAATGGCAACTTGTGCCGTTGAAAGTCGTGGAGAAGAAAATGTAGTTCAACAACTGAATGAACTGTTTGGCAATGTATTAAATATCGATATAATAAAAACAGTAGCTGTATCATGTCATTACGATGGTAAGTTATAAACAGTAGTTTACATAAGTTTTTTTCTTAATAGCGTTTTACTGTAAATGCATATTGTAGTTTTCTTAATAAGTTTGTTTATAAAGGTTATAATTGAACGCTATTGCTACTACTCTTAATCATTTCAATCAGTCAATGAATTTATAATCGTTAATTGAAAGACATTTTTACAATTGTCGATTTTATTTCAAATGAACACCCCGTAGGTATATTTTCAAGAATTTGAAAAGATTGTTCCCTCCAAATGCAGTGATATAAGAGCAATAGGTTTTGTCATCAGTAATAAACATTATTAATAGAATGTTTTTAAATTACAGTTCTTGTTTAAAACATTACCTTTTTTATTGTTTTTTATGGGCTTAAGTCCGATTCACGTATTATTCATGATATAAGTAGAATCCTTATCTACATTGTATTAAATGCAAGAAAACTTACTAAAGGACCCCGCACTTTTTATATGGAAAAGTGGTTTCAGTCAGGAGGTCTAATTTTTGATGGAAAAGGTAGTTCTCAACATCCTGAACAAAAAAGCTAATGGGCACAAAAAATCTACCGTCAGGATTTTGCGCTACGGCGCATACAAGGTCGGCACCTGGGTTTACAGGAGTCGGGTTATTTTTATCAAAAAAGAGCGTGTTCAGTGACCGATTATGGAGACATGCATGCGTGAAGGTGTGTTGGAGTGAAAAAGTACCATATATATATATATATATCCCCCTTTTCTGTGTTCAAAACGATATTCAAAAATGAAGATTCCGGTCTTCCACACCACCTAATGAAGTTCCGAATGAGGCGCATTAGCTTTTTTATAGTGGTTCTTCGCCAATAGCTCTATACTCCACTGATGTTCCACAAACTATTCCATCTCAACTAAGTACTTCGATTTCAACGTGATTATTGGCATTTGCTCTGGCATCACGGACGCGATCTAATAGTACTGTACGTGTGGGTACGGAAAAAGGCGGTCACCCTTTCCTTTCATTTTTGTATCTCGTTTTGAACACAGAAAAGGGGGATATATATATAGTACCTTTTCACTCCAACACACCTCCACGCAAGCATCTCTCCATAATTGGTCACTGAACACGCTCTTTTTTGATAAAAATAACCCGACTCCTGAAAACCCAGGTGCCGACCTTGTATGCGCCGTAGCGCAAAATCCTGACGGTAGAGTTTTTTGTGCCCATTAGCTTTTTTGTTCAGGATGTTGAGAACTACCTTCTCCACCAAAAATTAGACCTCCCGACTGAAACCTTTCCATATAAAAAGTGCGGGGTCCTTTGGTCCTTGAGTAGAAGTTATTTCGAAGTACATAGGAAATTATTGAAATAGCTTGTCGTGTAATATGCAGATGTATTAATTCACAGAAACATAGAATTACTTGTCCGTCATCTAATATTTCAATAATACTGTTGAGACAAGTGTAAGTGTATCTAAATTACCAAAGGCTTAGCCATAATAAATCATTTTCTATAGGTCCTTAAAATAAGTGATGTTAACCATAATTAATTAACTGACCTATATCAAGAGCATATAGAATTATGAATTATATACTTATTTATTTAGAGAAATTAATTACTGTTTTTTGATAAAGGGGTGTTTGCCACCTCTTCAGAACGGAAAATGAAATATGTGACAAAAAACTTGCCTTGTATTGGTTTATGTATGAAATAATTTTTTAACTGGAAATGAAAAAAAAAAAAATAAATAAGCGAATTTGGCAGACTATATTATGCCTTAATTGTGTTGTTAATAGGGAGTTCAATTAAAATTTCATACCATTGTCATTTTCTTTTTAATTGCTAATAAAGAGATAGAGAAGAGTTACTTAAATAAGGAGTTCTCTGTGACAACAACATCTATGTCCTAGCACGTCACAAGTTGACAACAATGGCGTAGGGTTTGAATTAAAATTTTAAAAATCAAATAATTTGTATAAGAAGTTTTTTATCCAAATTGCTTCTACGATTTGCATTAACTTTCATTGTACAATAATGTCGATAAAACGCTACTCATTTTTTTATGTAAACACCTCATTAAAAGCAAATAGCTAAATAGCCCTTATAAGGTTGTAAAAGAATACGTGTATAGTAGGATCGTATTCGATGCAAAGTAGACCAAACAGTTATCGGTCTTTTATTTATCAAAGGAAAATCGTATCGTCATTTTTAGGAGGCGTAAAATGAACCATTTCAAATTTAAAATGAAATTGAATGTAAAATCTGAAATACCGCTGCATACGCACTGTGTTCTGGTAGTAGCTGTAGTCGCCCACTTGCATTGAGTGTACGAAGTAGTTGGTTATACATCAAATATTAGCCTGGCGAGCTTGGTTGTAAATCAGAGAGCACCTCCAAAAAACAAGTAGACAACAGTGGTGCGTACAGAAGTAAAATGTAGAATATATGTGGAATTTAAAAAACAAATTGGATTTATAATAAATTACATTTAAAATAAATAGTTTATGAGAATAAAGGAATTTTTGTAAGAACAAGGGTGCCAAATGTGAACTGATCCCATTCCTCCGTTCATAATGTATAAAGAAATTATTCAATTTCTATACCCCTTAAAAGCGTATTGCACTGAATCCCTTGACAGTCGATGATTTATTACTTTGTATCGATATGATCCTACTTATAGGTATCGTTGGTTTTTTTTTATATCAGTAAATACTGTATAACTACCTACCTGTTTTTAGAATCATAGAAATTTACAGAAAATGTTACGATTGCACGGGGGAAATCCATAAACATTTATGGGAACTCCCTCAGATATCCAGTGTAATCTAATAATCACTATAATATTATTGTTTTTTTATTTTTTAAGAGATCAAAATTTAGATAAACTGCAACATTAATGAAATTTTAAGGATTTCTTTAATTGGTTTATTTTACAGTAACGGAATCATCAAATAAATTATTGGAAATTTCAAGTTTATCTGATAGAAGTTCAGTTATAAAAACAGGAAGAAAACCTATGGCAGGAATTAATGGAAATAAATCTAAACATCCACAAGTACCTTCTAACAATTCATTAAATGCTCCGACACAAAAAAAATCAAAAAAGATGTTAGATTTTGAGAGGACGGTGAAACATATTGAGAAAGGATACAAAGTATTGGTTATAGTACGTGGAGTTCCTGGATGTGGAAAATCTTATTTAGCTAAACGCATTCTTGAATCTACCATTGGTTTAGACAACAATTATTATTTGCATATATTAAGTGCTGACGATTTCTTTTTTCAAAGTGGTGTTTACAGATACGATTCAAGTAAAATTTCAGAAGCGCATGGCTGGAATCATAATAGAGCTTTTCAAGCACTAAGTAGAGGTTTTAGTCCTGTCATTATCGACAACACTAATACACAAATGTGGGAAATGAAACCATATGCCATGATGGCAACAGATTATGGTTATATCATTGAGATTTTAGAACCAGATACTCATTGGTGTTCGAATGACAAAGAATTGGCAAAGCGCAACACACATGGTGTACCAAAATCTAAAATAAGAGACATGTTGGATCGTTATGAGAAAAACATTACTTCACAAAAACTTTTAAGTGCTTACAACTTAAATTACAGATTGCAGAAACCTCCACAAATCAGATTATATCCTCCATTTCTCACGAACAATTCTGTTTCTGATTATTGTTTATATAACAATGAAATTGTAAATTCTTGCAACACTAATGCAAGCAACATTATGAAATCACGAAGTGTCGCCGCTCTTAACCCTCAATCTGCTGAATTTAAAGTACATTCTAAAGAAACAATTAATTTAATGGATTTTAATGATGATGGATATACAAATGTAAAATCACAATCTGTAACAAAAATAAATAATAATGAAATAAGTGTAAACTATTCAGAACAAAATCTCCTTGATAAAATTTTAATGTGCAGTAATGATATCCAAGAAAATGTTTTGCAGCCATCACAGGGAACGATTCTTGAAACTATTACTATTGACAGCAGTGATGATGAAAATCAAAAACCTGCAAACAAATTATTCCTTGATTTAGAAACTGCTTGGGGTATTAATGAAAATGCTTTAAGATCTTGGGACATTGTAACACCTTTAAAAGATGAAGGTGGTACAAAATTACCACACCAATCTACAGTAGTACATAAAGAGAGGAAAGAGACAAGTGATTTCAGCTGTAACACGGAAGAAGAATACTTCCAATTATTGAGAAGTAAACAACTTAAAACTGACAGTAAAGACTATATACTTTTGGAAACTGTAAATAGAGACATTAATCATTCAACCCCAACTAGAACTTCCGCTGTTTTAAAAGTGCCTATGCTTGATAAAAGCTGTTTAACGGAAGACATTTTTGAAGACTATGACAATCACATGTCTCAATTGGTAAGCTTATTCCCAACAGTGTCACAAGATCATTTGAAGTATTGGTACACTAAATGTAAAGGTGATTTGGAATGGACAATAGAATTTATTTTGGAGAATCAAGGGGAAGTTACTGTTTTAATTGAAGAAAGTGATGACATGGTCACACAAATGGATGAGGTGACATATGATACTGATAGTGATGGATCAAATTCTAAACAAAAAGAAGTTTCATGTAATAAAGAAAAAAAAATTAAATGGAACCACAAGGAATCAGTGGAAAATATCGACCTTAAAAAAGAAATTGAAAGTAAAATTGATATAAATGAAGAACACTACTCAAAACATTTACTTAGAATTAAACAATACAGGTTTGGTAACCTTAATGATAATTTAACATCTTCACCTAGCAAATCTGTAGATGAATCAAAAGCTTCTACTTCTAGACATAATTGTGTAATAGATGAATCAGTTGTTATTATTGATTCTGATACAGAATTTGATGAATTCGATGTTGATGAATGTTCCGATAAGTCAGAACAACCAGAAGAAATGGTAGAATTAAATCTTGGAGATAATTTTGTATCCCAATTAGAAACAAAATTTGGGGATCCCAATACGACATACCCAAAAGGATTTCAACCTGTAGTGCAAGTACCTGTGACTTTAGCACGCCAACTTTATACTTTTTACATTGAATCGATTTGCCAGCAGATGGAAAATCAAAAACAGATTTTAGAGTCTCTTATTAAAGAAGATGAAGAATTTGCTAGAAAATTGCAGGCTAAAGAAGAAGAGAAAGTCATAGAAGTCAAACCTGCTCCAAACTTTAAAGAAATTATTGATGAACAGGTAGCACAAAATGTTTATCAGAGGGAAGTAGACAAGTGGAAGGAATTAAATCCTGATAATTTAGCTGCGAGATTAACAAGGCAAAAATTGTGTAATGTTTTTCCTACTATCGATAAAGATACATTAATAGAAATCTTATATGCCCACGAAAATAAGTACCAGGATACAGTAGAAACATTACTAGCTTCAACTGGGACTGAAAATATTAGAGGAAATATTGATATGATAAAAGAGCCACCACTGAGAGATGAAATTATACAGGAAATGAAAGAAGCACAAAAGTCAAGTGCTAGTGAGGTATGTTATTTTCACTATTTTTTTTAACATTTTTCAAGTGGAAAACTTTGAACGATATGATTATAAATTTTATAAAAATATGCTAATATGATTTCTAAATGATCTCAGTTTTTAAAACTAAATACAACAAAGCAGATACACAATATTCAGGGTGTTTCTTAACTCTACCGACACAGAGCAGCCACGTGTAGAGGATCTTAAAATATGCTAATTTGTTATGTTTTCTTTTGGGATGTCCAGTGAAGATATCGGCCTCTGAAGATGAGTGTTAAATTTTGAAAAACAATAACATTTCAGCAATACCTTAACATAGAGCAACCAAATGTGGTAGATGGTTTTTTTAATTGGTAAAAATATGAATTTGTTGAAAGCTCAATAAGGGCCGGACTAGGGGTAGGGCCTCCTTAAAATGATATAATCGATTTTTTTTATCAGAATGCCAATTATTAAATAGTTTTAGAGTTACAGGAAATTTAATTTAAAAATAATTTGGTAGTCACAGTAATTATTTACAATTCAGGATTTTTACAATATTCAGTTAAACAAATGAAATTACTGAATAAATGTTTTTTTTTTCTTATGCCACCATTTCACATTTTATTTATTGATAAGATATACTATACAGGGTGTTCAGAAGCAAATGGGTCATACTTCAAGGGCAGCTTCCTTCTAAATTTTTAAGGTAACTCCATTACAGATATTTTAATGAAATTTGATATAAGAGGGGTTTTTGGAGTAGTTGAAAATGAACATAGGATTATTTCCTGTTGTTATGTTTGGCTTATGCTTAATTCCGTTGGCACCTAAGAAAGTTATCTTATAAAGAATGAAAAAAATGTTTTTAAAGCTCCATAACTTTTTAAGGAAACATAATTGTATCAATATAACTTGATCTAAATTGATTTTTACTCTTTATTAAGGTATTAAGCTAATTCAAGAAAGTCCTATCAAATGAAGTCAAACAATATTCTTCGAGACCAGAAATCTAGGTCTGCAAAAGACATCCAACCTCACAGACAAGATTCCTAACTGCTGGTACTGTGGGAAACTACTATTCCATGGGCTACATGCCACACCTGGCATTGCATTACACCACACAAATACTCATCAAACAGTTAGTAAAAAAATAATTATTCAAAAAAATGTAATGTTTAATTAATTAATTAACATGATGTTTACATTTTCAAATAATGCAATCATTCAGAGAAATATCCTATATTACCGCCTTCACCTTTGACAAACTTTGGTCACGTAAAAACCGCTGCTACAAAGAGATGTTTTTTTTTCCAAGGAAACTAGCTACTTTTGAAGTAAGATCCATTCACTTCCATACACCCTGTACTTTCCTTTGTGAATTTTTGTTTTTAAAGTTGATATCTGAATTATAATCGCAAAAAATGTTTTTTCTGAAATGTGTCCAGAATGTGTACTTTCTTCGTACAATTTCAGAACCCAAAATACTTTCTAGTATTTTAGTTCATTGCTGATAGCTGTTTTACATTGACAATTTATTGATCAATTAATTGATGAAGTTGTTTCATCAAGAAATTGGACAAGTGTAATGCACCAAATCTGCTGTCAAATAACTTCATGAATTTATTCATCAAGTTTTTGACGAATTAGAGCATGTTCTAATTTTTGTCAATT